CCTATAGTATCCTTAAGGGAACCTTTCATCGTATATTCGATACGGGGGTGGGCAGCAGCTCACATAAAATATATAATAGTAATATATATATATATATATGTACTATACGTATACGTAGAAACCCATAAAACCCCCTATCTTGTCTCCCGCCTTCGGTCGAATGTCCATAAAGTACAGGGAGGCGCCTGACCACCATGAACGAGCGAGGATACCAGGTTGGGGCTGCGTTTGCTCAACCCCTGCACAATAATCCTTAGCATATATACCCCGACACTAGTGTATAAAACTGAACTTAACCTTGCCCTATCCCAGGTACGCGGATGGTCAAGCTCGGGAACCTTCTGGCTGCCCGCACTTCCCTGCTAATTATTTTGGCATTATCGATTTCGGTGAACTTTGTGGCTTCTCATTTGCATTATACGTACAGGTCAAGATGAACAAACGTGTGCATATGCACACCCTTCATAAATCAGGTGGAGCAACCCGCATCCAGCTGGCTACTGGGATATCCTTACATCCAGACGGTTCTGCTTCCCGAGTATGTCCGCAAGACTATACGATTCAAGCAGTTGCAGCTTACCTGCCGATAACTTGTAGCGAGCACCAGCATGCACTGCATACTGCATTGCCTGTACTTCGATCGAATCTAAGCTACATGGCCACCTACGGCCACTGGGCGCCGAAACTGAGCTGGCTCATCGGGTCTGTGAACCTTGTCTTGTAAAATAACTACTTTAAAATCTTCTTTATTTAGTATATTTTATAGAGGCCACTGCTAGTACTATTCTTATGTAAGTTACCACTCGAGCTAGTCTTCTACAACTTGCCACTTCATGGTGTATATAAGGCCGTGGATACAAGACCTGACGAGTACCCTGGACCCCCAGATTCGAGAACGACTGGAGCCTGGATCGACGAGTGGCATGAGTAAACGAAAACACCGACAAGTCGAAGATGAGGATGGCCAAGCTCGTACGATGTCCACAGTGCATCTCAACTACAATGATGATAGATACTTCGATCAAACTTTATATTAGATACTTCTATGTCGCTCAGGACTGGTGGCGACCGGATGAAGACGAGTGGAGCCTACCCCGATGGCTTCGCAAGGTTCATTGCGCGGTGTTTCTGCCGCTATGCTGCTGGGTTCGACTGGACAAGTAATGCTATATAGTCGGACACAGGATATCGTACATGTAGTAGTGTTATACATTAACCACCTCGCATCCCAGGAGGGCTACCAGCCCAAGTTGGACCTCCCCGACATCGAAGCTATGGCGTCGGCCACGCCAGTTGTGGCCTGGGCAGCAGCAGGGGGCAGGGCTTCGGGATCAGGTTTTGCAGTGGTGCTTCGAGCTCTCATATATTCGTTTAGGGCTTAGGGGCTTTTCGTTTAGGAATTAGGGTCTTTGGGTTTAGGGTTTAGGGTCTTTGGGTTTAGGGTTTAGGGTCTTTGGGTTTAGGGTTTAGGGTTTGGGGCTTAGGGTCTTTGTGTTTAGGGTTCAGGGTTTATGGTGTTTCGGGCTCAGGGCTTGGGGGCTTTTTGTCTAGGGTTCAGGATTTATAGGGATCATAGGGTTTCGGGCTTAGGGCTTAGGGTCTTTTCGCTTAGGGTTCAGGGGTTACGGGGTTTCGGGCTTAGGGCTTAGGGGGTTTTCGTTTAGGCTTTTAAGCCCTTCGAAAGCTTACCCAGAATATACACCCCGATATAGAATACACATATAACTAAGTTAGCATAATAAACCCTGCTATCTGTACCCCGAACCTCAAACCCCTGCTCAAACTCCTAGCTTATGTATGTCAGAATTAAAGATCGTAATGAATATTATGCATTACAATTAATTAGGGTTTAGGGTTTAGGGTTTAGGGTTTAGGGGTTCATTCACAACATAACCCCTCCTCTGTAAACCTAGGAATCAAACGCGGCGTTGAATTGTACATGATGCGGGTATAAAGGTACATATATAATTATAGGCTCTAGCATTATTAAGTATGGATCCATGTATGGGGCACCGACAGGCCCCAAGGCTCATGCTATAATTCGGGCATCGTGTGCATATCAGTGCTGATGGGTATTTAATATATATAATGTTGTGGATTTTTGCACAATTCCATTAATTAATATTTGGGTTGCAGCTGCAAATCTAGATAAGCGGGGTTGGACCCGGAGCACAATCGACTGACCTAGCTTCAAGTACTAGCTTCGTTGGATTTCGAGTATACAGTAATAGCTGCTAGGTCGGGCTCGAACATGATGATGTTAAGGAGCGGTGTTACCCAGGAACGGTGAATATTGCTCTTAAAAAATATATAATACTACATCCCCATATATATGCTTTATAAACAATATATATATATATATATACACATAATATAAACAACTAAACCCCTAACTCCTTAAATACTACTCACTATTCTAGCAGGCGCTCGGGCTCTCGGTCGAGGGGGGTTCCCCAATAGTTTGGGGCTGTGCCCCAATGCAATAATCGTTGCAAGAGCCAGAATCCACGGCTTCAGAATTCCCCAGTATTGAAAGCGACTGGGACAGTCACTGCGACAGCGACTAGTACACATGTGGCGTGTCGAACGTGTCAGCCCACTCCTTGTCGGCCTGTGTTTGCTGCCAAGCTCGGCACAAGGATGCGTCTCGTGCAATGTCGCATTATCTCGCATCCACTGTTGGTAAGCCAGGGGTCGAAGTGCCAAGCCATGAAGGCTGTGTGTGATCGATCATGATCGGCGCCAGGACAAAAACTATCTATCTATGCTGTTCTGCCCTCAAATATACATAGTACCCTATATATCGCCTATCCAATATTGTCAATTACATATATATATATATATATATAGGACCCTATAATAAGGCTCCTAGGCGAATTCGTATCAATATCTAACACGAAGCAGCCTATTAGGCCCCCCTAACCAGAAAACCGCACCGAACCCCAACAACAATCCTATGCTAGATCGCCCTCATCATCCCAACCCCCATAATTGCAAAGCCGAAAAACCCTAGGGCTCTTAAAAGCTTATCTAGGGACCTAGACACGATCACCCAGGTCACCTGGGACTTCGAAAGGCATGGTGGTAGTACTCAATATAAACGGCCACCCGAATTCGCGATCACCCTATAAGCCCTGGATGCCTATCACCCCTTTAAACCCCGCTTGAAAGTACCCCGTGCATACAACTTAATTGGTCCCTATATATATATATATATATATATAGGAATATGTGCTTCGAATTTTAGTTAACGTTCAGTGATTTAATACAAATTCAGAACGTTCAGGGTTTAGGGAATCGGGTCACCAGGCTCCGGGCTTTCCGATGCATCTGTAGGGGGACCTTTGCAAGGGCCGGTTCGGTTGGACTTCAAAGTAAAACGTTTTAATATATACTTATAGATGAATTATGGTTGTAATGTGTAGTTTTACTTGTTGTGGGTACCGGGGAAACGATCCCACTCTCAGGTCCCACCGTTCCATTGGGAGCACGCCGATCTGGAGCCGGTTCGCGAGTTTCTGCTGCGGGAAGAGCAGCGTGGCGTCTTTAAAAGGATGTCGCAAGTACCCCTGTGACATTCAGGTCGGTAGCTAGCAGCTAGCCCGGGGCTCCAATTACACAAATAGTACTTACTTTGGTGTCTAAAGTCTAGAAATAGTACCTACTCCGGGCTATTAATGGAGCCCCTGGCACTGGTAATTTGAACCCGTGAACACAATTTTGGAGGCCTCTGGCACGACGGGTAATCAGAGTCCAACCTCACCGCTAAGTGTTATAGACACTAGCCCACAACGTAAGGCGTGAAAAAGCGTGAGCCCGCGTGAGTTGTCAGATTCCCTGGCTCCTAAAGTGCTACGAGCGAGTAGACTTTAACAGAAATCAGAAATCAGAGCGTGAATCCGCGTGAGTTGTCAGATTCTGCTGGGGACTGTTGGGACTGCGGTGGCTGGCAGATTGTGCTGGAACGGTGTGTGTGACCGTGTGCCACAGGATTTTGCACAGATTTTCCTGATTGTGTGTGTACTACTGATCCTGTGGCGCCATGAGCCGCCCAGCTTCGCCATTCGAATCCGGCGATGAAGCTGCAGTGCTTGGTTGATAGGTATTCAACATGAGGTTTTGTACTAGTCGGAGGTTATATTGTATACGATATATACAATATAGATATTATTCGTAATATATTGATGCATGACTTATAAGGTTCGTAACCCCAAAGCCGAAGCCTTTAAAGTGTATATACCCCAACTGTAGTCTAAAACCCGACCTTTAACTCGTATTCTTACTAAATATTACTTAATCACCTCATACCCAAACCTTAAAACCCCGAACCTTACATCCTACGTACATGAAACTCCCAAATCAGTAAAACCGTGAACCGCACACCCGACATCAAAGTAACAAACTATGCCCTATAGGTGCAACAAGCTCTAGTGGCTGCTCGCCGTCGCCAACAACGTGTGGCCCCGAATCCGAAGGCTACCCCTGGCAGGACTCCCGGAACCCGCGAAAGCACCGGAACGACTCCTCCACCTGCCTCTGTTGCCTCGACTACGGACCAGAGCCCAGACACCGCACCCCGGAGCAGGATGCTCAAACGACATGACCAGGCCACCCCGCTTCCCGAGAGCACTCCCGTGCCGACTCCTGGCCATAAGCATGTGAAGCTGCTTGATGAAGATATTTGCAAGCGTACATTGTTCGAGGGTATCTTGGTTAAAATGTGGGGTCTTCGACTGCACACTTGCACGCTTGCATTGGGAACTCTACGAACTCTGATATATGCCAAGGTGGCACTACAAGTGTTACTACGTCGGCCCCGAGTGATGCAGGCTACTTGGAGTTGCATTCCCGGTTGGGGGATTTTCGAGTTCTGTATTTCATAGGGGGGTTGTTAATTTAATTTGTAAGGGTATTGTTTGGGTTCGTGGCTTGGCTTATTAGGGACGAAGGCTTAATCGATATCAAACCTATATATATATATATATATAATTAGCACTTCGTGCGAAGGCATCAGTTATACATTAATTATATAGTATCTGTTATATATATATATACCGGGAATTCTGTACATGCATCTAGTATAGATAAAAAATATAAATATATATATATAGAGATACACATGTGTGTCTGTCTAAAGTATATAGTGTCTAGATATATATATATATATATATTATATACATATATGTAGGTATTATGAATATGGTAACCCAAAGCCACTAAACACTTGAACCCTTAAGCCCTAAACTCTAAACCCAAAGTCTCTGAGGTTTCTGAAGGCCCCAAACCCTAAACCCTAAACCCTAAACCCGAAGCCCTAAACTCTAAACCCTAAACCCTAAGCCCTAAACCCGAAGCCCCTAAAATGTCGGAGCCTCCTGACGCGGCATCAACGGGGGCGGTGCCGACGAGGATCTGGCTTTGGGATTAGATTTTTAGGGTTTAGAGATTAGGGTTTAGGGTTTGGAGTTTAGGGTTTAGAGTTATATAAGCTTATGTATATATAAATATAATATAATATATATATATAT